CGCACGATAGAGAAGAGAAGAAAGAGGAGAGAGAGAGAGAGAGAGAGAAAAAATGGCAGAGATAGCTCTCGAGGAAGGGTACCGGCTCGCATCGTTCCCTTCAAAGAGCCGGCTCTTTTTACCGGCTCGTTCGCGACCGACACATCACTCGTGTAGACCTTTGGGGAAATGAGCGACTATTGTTCTCAATTAACAGAGCAAATGGCAAATTCCAGCTCATTTGTACACTTTCAACCGAGTGTCATTAACGTATGTGATTTTTTATTTTATTCACTCGCAGAAATTATATGTTGGGAAATGTTAACCATGTTACAGCACCATGATCCTGCATAATAATGGGAATGCCTCTGTGCAATGCTTTTTTTTTGTCCCATTATAAATTCACAACTGCGTTTTTGAATGCTTGAGTAATTCTTCAGCTAGACCTTTCGCTTTTTTAAACATAGTACCATTATAATATTTTACAATGTTCTAATAACTTTGTAAGTGAAGATGTGGTCAACGCTAGACAGTACAGTACTTTCGGTACAATGTGTAGAATGTAGTGCCATCTATTGGTGAACTATCAGAATGTCACAACCTAAGCTCAAAACTCTTTTTTATATACAGTATAGAATAGATAGATACACATACACGCACGTAATGTGATCAAACATTTTTTTTACATATTTGAATTCATAGTGTGTTTTTTTTTATCACAGTTGAAAAATGACAAATAACAAATTTCACACACTGTCCCTGTAAAGGAACAATCTGAGAAATATACTTTTCGGTGAAAGATTGACATACTGACAGGTCATTGAGTAATCCAAGTGTATACTCTGAGACATCAAGCCTATATGACATAATAAAGACACAAAGCATAAAAGAGCCACAGCAACTGCATAGCAACTGAAAGATTAATTTAAGGAGGAAGAGACATTGACAACAGGGGCACCACCCGGTGATCGACTCCGCTTGTGAAGCAACACCTGGTGGAAGTTCATATTCCATGTCAAAAATTAGACTGCAAATGAATAAAAGATAAACGAGGTCTAAACAATAAATAAACAGAAGTCTAAAACAACAAGAATCCAAGTAACCAAACATCAAAGTCACGACAGAAACACTAGCAAACTAGCTTGACTTGAACTGAGACAGCAAACAGCAGTTAGACGTAACAAAGACAATGAACCAACAAAGATGAAACAAGTCAACTAGGAACACGTGGACAAGACAGTGTCAGAGGGAGCTAATTGGGTAACACAAGGGATCGGTAAATGAGTACAGGTGGGCACAACAACCTAACGAGACGCACACAAACAAAAAAAAAAAACACGAGGAAAACATGAAACTACTAAATCAAAACTATAATCAAACACAGATCGAGGAAGGCAATACGATAAGTTCTTGACAGGACCAATCCGATGGCTGTCCTGCAAGCAGCGAGACAGGTTCTTAGCGGGACATATCCGGTGGCCGCCCAGGAAGCCAAATGAGAGATTCTTGGCAGGATCAATCGGGTGGGCGTCCCGGAGTCCGGACGAGAGGTTCTTGGCAGAGCCAGTCCAGTGGCCGTCCCGGGGTCCACACAGAGGGCAAGGGCGGCCGCAGGGCCAGAAAACACAGAAAAGAGCTGACACTCTGATTGGGAGGAAGCGTGACATACTGACATGTCACCGAGTAATCCAAATTGAAAAACAGTGCGACATCAAGCCTACATAGATACAAATCATAAAGGAGCCACAGCAACTGAAACATTCAGCAGGGACAAAGAGTTACAACATCCGCTTCCATTTTCCAATAAATAAATACCTTTATCATTTGTACAACTCGGTGTCCGGCACCTGATATGAAAGGCTGCAAACGCAAAGGCCGATTATGCTGAATTAAAAATGAAGCATTTCAAAAATCAACACATTTATAAATAGGCGCAATTGCTCACAGAGATGATGGGTTTCCCGTATGCGCAACAAACGTTTGCCGCATCTCGCCCGAGGGTTAATGTTTAACTGACAACAAAGGTTCAAGGACAGCTTTGCGCTGAATCTAACCTGCCTCTCATGATGCCATCCAATGTTTCCAAACTAACCCCAGTAGTGAGGTAACACATTCTGTCACGGCACGATTATCATTCCAGTACTGCATTTGGGAAAATGGCATCGGTCTCGGAACAGGAAATGCTTCCTTGCTCCTGTGACAGTTGGAGCACTTTGCAAAGGGACGATTGTGGGTTGTGTGATTGCCCTTGACATCATTTGGAAGTCTCCCTCCATTTTTTGGCCAAAATATGCCTCGCGAACCAAGATATTTGCTTTTATCTCACGAGACCTCAGTTCAGTGAGTGTCAAAAAATTAACTCTGAAGTACGCACTCCAAAAGAAGGACCAGCCTCGATCAAAGGGTGTCACGACAAAAACAACAACGGAATACGCGGTCCCCTCCAAAATGATGGGAATGGCAAATGATGCATTCTTCATTTGAAATGCTTTGCCGGGCCTTTTTTCGAACTTCTTTCAGTTCTTGTTTATTTCTGAGAGTTTCTCCATTCGGTCTCCTTTTCAGCAGGTAAAATTGCAAAAGGCTTGACTCGGTTAAAGTCCGCCGATTGACTTGGCCAGTCTAAGACCTTCCACTTTTTTTCCCCTGATGACGTCCTTTGCTGTGTTGGCAGTCTGCATTGGTGATGCAATGATGAAGCTTCGCCTGATTAGGTTGGATACATGGATTGCCAGATAAAACGGTTTCAT